GTCTGTTCAAGTTTTCTGTCTCTTCCTGGTTCAGTTTTGGGAGACTGTGTGATTCTAGAAATTGGTCCATTTTGCCTAGATTGTCCAATTTGTTGGTGTATAACTGTTCATAGTATTTTTTATCAAACCTTTGTATTTCTGTGGTGTCATTTGTTACTTCTCCTCTTTTGTTTCTGATTTTGTTTATTTGGACCCTCTCTCTTTGTATCTTGGTGAGTCTGGTTAAAGGTTCATCAACCTTGTTTATCTTTTCAAAGAACCAGCTCTTTGTTTCATTGATCTTTTGAATTTTCTTTTTTTTTTTTTTTTGTCTCTATGTCATTTATTTCCACTCTGACCTTTACTATTTCTTTCCTTCTACATGCTCTGGGTTTTTCTTTTTGTTTACTTTCTAGTTCTTTAGATTGTAGGGTTAGATAATCTATTGGAAATTTTTCTTGTTTTTTGAGGTAGGCCTGATGGGCTATGAACTTCCCTCTCAGGACTGTTTTTTTGTTTTTTTTTATCTTCACCTGAGGACATTTTTTGATATTTTGTTCAGATAGAGTGGGAGGGAGAGAGAGAGAGAGAGAAACATCAATGTGAAAGGGACACATCGAGTAGTTGCCACCCGCACAACCCAACCAGGGCCGGGGACACACTGCAACTGAGGTACATGCCCTTAGCAGGAACCAAACCCAGGTCTCTCGGGACCGCAGGCTGACGCTCTAACCACTGAGCAAAACTGGCCAGGGTTCAGGACTGTTTTTGCTACATCCCATAGATTTTGTGTTGTTGTGTGTTCATTTTTATTAATTTCCAGAAAGCTTTTTATTTCTTCCTTGATCTCCTTGGTAACCCATTCATTGTTTAATAACATGCTATTTAGCCTCCATGTGTTTGAATGTTTTTGTTGTAATTGGTTTCTAGCTTCATGCCATTGTGATCTGAGAAGATGCTTAATATGATTTCAATCTTTTTGAACTTGTAGAGATTTAGTTTGTATCCTAACATGTGGCCTAGCTTTGAGAATGTCCCATGTGCACTTGAGAAGAATGTGAATTCTGAAGTTTTGGGGTATAATTCTCTGTAGTTGTCAACTAATCCATTTGATCTAGTGCATCATTTAGAGTCTCTGTTTTCTTGTTAAATTTTTGTCTAGAGGATCTATCCAGTAATGTCAGCAGGGTGTTGAAGTCCCCTCCTATGATTGTATTGCTGTCAATTTCTTCTTTATAGTCCTCCAGAATTTTTTTAAATATAGTTTGTTGCTCCTATATTGGGTGCATATATGCTTACCAAAGTTATATCCTCCTATTGGATAGATCCTTTCATTATTATGTAGTGGCTTTCTTTGTTTCTAGTTATGACCTTCATTTTTTTTTTCCCCATTTCCATTTGCTTGGAAAATATTTTTCCATCCCTTCACTTTCAACCTATGTGAGTCTTTTGTTGTGATGTGGGTCTCTTGTAAACAAAATATATATAAGTCATACTTTCTTATCCATTCTGCTACTCTGTGTCTTTTTATTGGAGCATTTAATCCATTTAATAACCTTAAAAGTTTATTATTCATATATATTTATTTATTGCCATTTTAATTTATTATGGCTATATTTCTCTCTCTATTTCTTCTGCTTATTACAGCAGTCCTTTTAGTATTTCTTGCAGTACTGGTTTGGTGCTAATATATTTCCCCAGCCCTTTTTTTTTTTTTTTTTTTTTGTCTGGGAAGCTGTTTATTTCACCTTCTATTTTGAATGATAGCCTTGTTGAATAAAGTAGTCTTGGATTCAGATCCTTGTTTTTTATTACCTTAAATACATCATGCCATTCCCTTCCGGCCTGTAGTGTTTCTGTTGAGAAATCAGCTGATAGCTTTATGGGGGCTCCTTTGTAGGTAACCTGTTGCTTTTCTCTTGATGCTTTTAAGATTCTTTCTTTGTGTTTAATTTTTGGCATTTTAATTATGATATGTCTTGGTGTGGGTCTCTTTGAGTTTTTCTTACTTTGGTCTCTGTGCTTCCTGAACTTGTGTGCCTTTTTTCTTCACCAAATTAGGACCGTTTTCTGACACAATTTCTTCAAATATATTCTCTGACTCTTGCTCATTGTTTTTTTCTTCTGGTACTCCTATGATGCAGGCGTTGTTACATTTAATATTGTCTCACAGCTCTCTTAAACTGCTCCTGTTTTTTAATTGTTTTTTCTTTTTGGTTCTCTAATTGAGTGATTTTTTTTCTATCCTATCTTCTAATTTGCTGATCTGATCCTCAGCTTCCTCTAAGCTGCTGGTTATTCCTTCCAATGTGTTCTTTATTTCTGCTATGTCATTCTTCATTTCTGCTTTGGTTGATTTTCATTGTTTCTATATCTTTACTCATGCTGTTGAGCTTCCTCATAATTATTACTCTCAACTCTACCTCTGATAACTTGCTTAACTCCATTTTATTTAGCCATTCTTCTGTAGAATTCTCTTGTTCTTTCATTTGAGCCCCCCCTCCCCCCGCCGCCACCACCACCACCACACACATACCATTTTGGCTGTCTCAGCAGGGTTTGGAGTCTGCCACATTTTCCCTGTGAGTGTCAGTGTTTTTCTGATTGTGGCTTCTCTGCTGGGTTTGGATGAGTATAGAAGGGGCCACACTAAACACCAATGCCTAGTCTTACTTTCCTAGGTAGAGTCACAGGCCAAGCAAAGATTCAATTATCCCAGAGCGTTTGGCTGCAGACTGACTATTAGTCTCAGTTACTTAATGAACCCCAGGTTGTAGCCCTCAGCTGAATGAAAAATCCCACAGGTGAGCAGGGTAAGAGGATTTCCAGTAGGTGGGACAGTTGCTTTCCCCTGGGCTAAAGTTGCTTTGAGAAGAAAATGGTTTCTGCAGTGTGGGTTAATGACTCAGTGCAGGGACTCGGGCCTCAGGCTTCACACCTCAGTCACCAGAACCACAACACTGAGAGCCAGGTCTAAAACTCAAAGCTTTCAGAGGCTCTTTTCTGCCTACTGGCTGGCAGGTAGCCTCTGGCTGTTAATGAGCCTCAGGTTGCATTTCTCTGGCCTGGTGGTGTTAAATTCCTAAAGCAGGGGCAGTTGCTTCTCCCCCAGGCTAGAGCTGCTCTGATGGGGCTATTGGTAGAGATGGCTACTGTCTTCTGGGGGGGGGGGGTGACTCAGCATAGAGCCTCCTATGGCCTCCCTCCCAGCTCTCCCCAATGCCATGAACCCCCAACTCTCCTCACACAGCTCTACTCCAGTTGACCCTTCCTCTGCTGGAGCCCAAGGTGAGTGGCTGTAGCTGTAATTTAGTGCATTGGCCCTTCAGGGAAGTGCTGGTATTTCCTTTGCTTTCCCTGCCAGACAAAACCTCTGCTCTGGTGATTTTCCTCAGCCAGGTGTTATGTGGGTACCTTTCCCTGTTCTGCCACTCTGTGCTGGCTTGGGGTTTTGTTTGTTTGTTTTTTATCCTCACCCAAGGATATTTTTCCATTTTTTGTACAGATAGAGTGGGAGGGAGAGAGAGGAAGGGAGAGAGAGAGAGAAACATCGACATGAAGGGACACATTGAGTGGCTGCCACCCTCTTGACCAACCAGGGCTGGGGACAAACTGCAACCGAAGTACGTGCCCTTAGCGGGAACTGAACCTGGGTCTCTCCGGACCGCAGGCCGACGCTCTAACCGCTGAGCCAAACTGGCCAGGGCCTAGCTTGGGGTTTTAATCCCCAACTTCTCAGAGGGAACTGCTCACAGCTAAGACAGCCCTCAGTTGCTGCCCGTGGGCACCCAGCCAGACCTCATGCGCCTCTGTAGCTCCTACCAGTCTCAATTTGGGGTCCTCTTTATATCCCTGTTATGAGGGTTCTTTCCAGTTGCTCTTCAGTTGGATTTTCCAGATGACTTGTCTTTATTTTAGTTTTAATTCCAGTTTGGTCCTGGAAGGTGGTCTGTGTAGCTTCCATTCACTCCACCGCCATTTTCCTCTCCCCTAGTGTTCCTTTGATGAGCCTTCCCCCAACAAAGCTGGCAGTGAGCTCCAAACCTAAGACTTCATCAACCTGGCTCACACTGTTTGCCCCATGCTGGTGATTCCCTGAGGTCACTTTCCACCCAACTTTTGAGCCCACCCAAACTGTTTCCAGTGGTTTTGCCATACAAATGGCCTGTCTTGGCTCATGCTTCAGACTTTCCTAAAATCTCTCAAACAAGCAACATCTGGCCTCAGTGCGCTCTGTACTTCTTGCTCAGTGGTCTCAGTCCCAGAACTAGCAGCAGATGGCCTTGGTTCACAGCACAAGTAGTACCTGTCTGCAGATCACTTTGTAGCTCATGCTGGCTGGACCTGGCAGAACCCAGGTGGCAGCTGACCTTGGCCTGCACCTCCCAGGAGGCCCCACAGCCAGAGCACTCAGTGGACAGCTTCAGACCATGTCAAAGCACCACCCAACCACCTCCGCAATGACACACTCAAGGGACAGACTCAGTGGCCAGATGGGAGGGGGCTTGGAGGAATGGGTGAAAAAGGTGAAGGGATTAAGAAGTACTAATTTATTGTTCCAGGATAGTCATGGAGATGTAAAATATAGCAAAGATAATATAGTCAATAATATTCTAATACCTATGTATGGTGTCAGATGGGTACGAGATTTATACAGATGATCACTTAGTAAGTTATATAATGTCAAGTCACTGGGGTGTACACCTGAAACTAATAAAATATGGTATGTCAATTGTAATTGAAAAATAAAAAATAGCTCAGCTGGTGTGGCTTAGTGGTTGAGTGTTGACCCATACACCAAGAGGTTGCCAGTTCGATTCCCAGTCAGGGCACATGCCCAGGTTGTAGGCCAGATCCCCAGTGGGAGGCATGCAGGAGGCAGCCAGTCCATGTTCTCTCTCATCAATGTTTCCATCTCTCTCTACTTCTCTCTTCCACTCTCTCTCTAAAATCAATCAAGGAAAAAGAAAAGGAAATAATTTAAATAAAAAATTTTAATCCTAATATATTTATTATTGTTTTAGATATTTCCAATTCAAACAATCTAGCAATTTTAGGAATATAAAAATAAAGGCTATCTAACCACTGAATATATTTCATTTTACTTGAATTCTCAGTTCTTCTCTAATATTCATTCTCTCTCTCAATACATACCAGATATTTTAGCATTTTAAATGGCGTTCCTACCAATTATATTCAGAGAAACACAAATATAGACAATGAAAATTACCTACAAGGAAAATGACATCATTTTATAGAGATTTTTAAAAAGTAGCGTCCTTTAGCTTTACTGGGAGGAGAGTCTATGCAAAAACGTTCTTTCCAGGAGTAGTCGGTCCTGAGCTGCTGCATCTGTTATGCTTCTTACCAAAGTTCAGGAGGGCAATATCTGTTTCCTCAAGATGGTGTGATAATGGAGAGTTGCAGCTTTCCTGATGTCAGCCAGAAAGCTAATTAAAACAAAGTAGACTTGCTTTAACGGGCAAAACCTTTTCCTTCCTTGCACTTATAAGCTGTCCTGCTCCTACCCACCGCAAACACTTGAAACAATAGTCAGTGATAAGAATGACATCTTTATGTTCACTCTTACAAATGCCTTATTTTGTTTCCATCATGACTTTGTCTCCACCTTCCTCTACCTTGTCGTGAAAGAACTGACAAGTGCTTGTTTTCCTAGTGGTGGTACATTTGAAACCAAACAATCTCCCCTCGCCAAAAGTTCTTTTTGAAAACTTTAGGCCAAATGAGTGACTACACTGGTTGGCATCTTAAGGCAGTGACAGTGTGAGAGCCATAAAAGAAATGCCTTTGTTTCATAGATTTCTGTGGGTTCGTGAAATCCTGATTCCTGATTTAGAACAAGGCAGCAACTCTGAAATCTCCATTTAGAAACAGTAATTATAGCCCTGGCCGGTGTGGCTTAATTGGTTGGAGTGCCATCCTGTACACCAAAGGGTCACAGGTTTGATTCCTGATCAGGGCACATACCCAGGTTGCAGGTTTGATCCCTGGTCGGGGTTTCGGGGTGTGCACAGGAGGCAACAGGTCTCTCATATTGATGTCTCTCTCTCTCCCTCCTCCCTTCCTTCTTCTCTAAAATCAGTAAAAATATATCTTCGGGTGAGGGTTTAAAAAATAGAAATAATAATTATAATCTTATTATTTCCTTGGATTTGGTGAATGCACATAAAAGATGTTCTGCCCAGTATTTCTCACTATAACCTAATGGTAATGCCATCATTAAAATTCTACATTAAAAGGGAAGTAAAAAGAGAACAAATTGTGATCTTGGATCATCAGAAATGCCGAGATACATACGGATAAGAGAGGAAGTGGTTAAAAGAGTAAAGCACACTGTCAAAAATAAAAAAAATAGTGAGGAATGAGTGAAGAAAACAAGACGGAGTCAGCACAGCTAAGCTGATTTATAATTGAGTCTGTATAGTCCAGTGGTTCTCAACCTTCCTAATGCCACGACCCTTTAATACAGTTCCTCATGTTGTGGTGACCCTCACCCATAAAATTATTTTCGTTGCTACCTCATAACTGTAATTTTGCTACTGTTATGTCTTAGGCGACCCCTGTGAAAGGGTCGTTCAACCCCCGTAGGGGTCACGACCCACAGGTCGAGAACCGCTGGTCTAGTCAAACTGGCAACACTGGTTCAGACCAAATGGGCTGAAGCATGAGGAATATATTTTATTTTACTTTAGCCCAAGGACTTAGACTTTTGAACTTTTCAGTTGCATATCAGTGCCTGGAGATATATATGTAAACCCTATAGACAAGCCTCTGAGAACGTAGGAAGGACTGTTCACGTGTCCAGACCATCTGATCCCTCATCCAGACCACCGGCATCTGGAAGATCACTATCTCAGACCAGTCCGGAGGCTAAGAATGCAGGACTGAGTGTTCTCAAGAATGTACTTCTTACTGTAAGAACTCTAAGCTTTTCTTTCCTTTTCAGACACTCTGGGTATTGCTTAGTTGTGTTTCTGGTTTGCAAACCTGAATAAATCTTTGCCATTGTTTTCTACTCAAAGCCTCCTGATCCTTTGGGCTGTTGACACTAGAGGGAAAAAAATGACTATGACTATTAAAAACTGGTGTGTAATTCATTGAATATAGATCTTTTGAGTGGGAGATTAGTGGTAAGAAAATAATTGTATGGAAATACATATTATTTATTTATAGTCTGTCTCATCTAATTAAAAAATTGTGATGGTAGATATTTATGTAAATGTCTTCCTAATTGAAAAAGCACGATGAAACTAAATAGTGACATTTCTTTCCTTAATGTGGTTAAATGTGGCATTGCTTCTCATCTGTCTGAAACAGTGAAGGTATCCTAACAACTCACACTTGTCATTATAAACAACTTTGTAATTACAGAGCATTTTCATGATAGTTTTGTTAGGTCAATAGGACCTTGTCCTATTATAAGGTCAAGAAACAGCATGAACTACTGAGTGATTTGCCCAAAGTAGCATCATTCTGAGTTGTTAGAGCCAGAACTCGAAAATAAGTCTCCTCTCACTTAGTATTCTTTCTACTGCTGGACTCACAGATAACGTTTTCCAAGGTCTTTTCCAGTCACAGATTTCTTTGGTTTTAGTGAACATATACATGTATCACAATACTTTTATAGTTAAACAGTGCTGTCTGATATTTTAAACAAAGAAATTTGGAAACAATGGAGGGCAGATGTACTGGGCAGTCTGTTTGGTCCACAGAGCCGCTGTTTATCTCTACCCTGCTCAGTGTCCTGGGAGGTCGTCCAGACTGAACTGCCTTAATGGGCTTCGGACTGGTTTCAGCAGGAGGTTGGAGAGTGGATGAAGAGCCGGGTTGGGTATTTAGTTCTTAGTTCCTTTCCAGATGGCAGTGGCCATGCATCTTAACTGAAGGTGTAACAGACTCTGTGGCCCCTCCTCCCCCCATGTACCATCAGTGCTTATCGCTTCTTAAAAACAGTGGCGGCTCCTTCCTCTGTAAACACCTGCCACTCTCTGCTGGAGGCCTTTTTCTGGTCATGAAAACATGTCCAGCCCATGTGTAGGGCAGGCCAGAAATGCTGGACAGTTGATGTCCCCAGGGAGTGGCCCTTAACCAATGATACATGGGAATCAGTGGATAAACAACCTTGCTTCCTCTTCCTAGGTTGGGACATCTCCCAGGGTCCCTATCAATACTGAGCCTGATTGCACTCAGCATTGCTCTGCTTCCTGCCCTGGCCTCCTCCCTGCCCTGTCATTGACCTACCCTAGTAAATGAAACAGGGCAGGGAAGGAGCATTGCTTCCTAAGGAAACTAGTTGTGCTGAAATCTTAGCTTCATGGTCTGCTTCTGATGGACCCCAACCCAATACAGAAGCCACAGTTCTTGTCAGGCAGTTGTGTCCTATAGCCGTGGCTTACTGTGTGGGTTCCAGGAACCACTTCCTTCCTCTCCTTACCCCTTTGGGCCAGACGGCCTGGTTACCCACTGCTGCTCGTCACAGAATGATTCACCATCCCATCTACACGTACCTTCAAGACAGGCTGGGCAATGTCGTCTTTATGCCCGGTGGCTGAACAGTGGATATCCTTTTGGTTCAGAAGAAAATGAGAATAAGAGGAGCGGACATCTAGTAGTCTCTGCCACAGAAGCACACTTCAAATTCTAGAATTTTTTGGAGACATATTGTGAGATAATTGACGACTGAAAGCAACACTAATCAGGCCAGCAATGATTACAAGGCGATCCGGCCAGGGTGGGGTGCTGTTTGAGAAGCGGGGGCTCCGCCCTGGCCGGCTCTCGTCTGCAGGCAGAGCTCCTGCAGTTCCTCTGTGGTGCCGATCCCACCGCTTGCTCACCTCCCACGTCTCAGTTCCAGCAAAGCCCCCACACCCTGTGTCTGATGTGCTTTGTTTTACAGCTCAGGCATTGCTGTGGAAATATTTATACTCATTTGTAGCAAAAATAAATTTCCTTTTTACATGTCAATACAAATTTGGAGGGACTGCTAGGAGAGACTTGATTTCATGTGTGCAGTGGTCGAGAATCCCCATGTTAGGTATTTTAGAGGATATAAAATGGATAATAGCCGTGGCCGGGTTGGCTCAGCGGTTAGAGCATCGGCCCATGGACCAAAGGGTCGTGGGTTCAATTCCGGTCAAAGGCAGGTACCCGAGTTACAGGTTTGATCCCCAGCCCCAGTCGGGGTTGTGCAGGAGGCAACCAATCGATGTCTCTCTCTATCTCTGTCTCTCCCTCTCTCCCTCTCTCCCTTCCTTCTACTCTCTCTAAAAGATCAATGGAAAAAGTATCCTCGGGTGAGGATTAACAACAGCGACAAAGGTAATAAACAGTCTCTTCTTTCCAGAACTCTAAGTCTAGTAGTGATGGAGAATGGCATGAGAATGGAAGAGAAATTTGGGGTGGGGAGAAATAACACCAGGGTAACTGGCTGGATACTTTGGGGGCGGGTGGAGGGCACATGGGGGATAAATGGTAATGGAAAAATAAATAAAATAAATTGAATTGAAATTATAACACACACACACACAAAGATGTTAATTATTATGAGTTCCCAATCCTACCCTGGCTTATTGTGGAAATTACAGAAGGTGCCCTGAAGCAATAGGGTGATAGAGAAGAAATAAAGGGGGTAACTCTGAGGACCAGGAGGGAGCGTGGACATTCTGGAGCACCGAGGAGGGGATGGAAGTTGGTGAGCCATGGGCAGTAGGGACCCTCTCTTGTGCTGAGTCCTGTCCTGGTTGGTAATATTTCAGAGAGGACGTTTGGTGCCCTAGGGAGGCTGCACTCCGGGCATCGTACTTGGTCCCTTCCCGCTTAGCACTGGAACAGAAAGCCGGTCACATTTCAAGGCTAAGCAGTGAAAATATCAGAAAGGGTCAAGGGCAGTGAGAGCCTAGAAGTCCTTCCCCCAGTTTCTGACTCTCCCAGATTCTGGTGTAAAGCAGGGAAATAAAGGGACTCCAGAATGATGTGATGGACTTTCTTGCCAGCTCAGAGGAGTTGAGATGGAGACGAGCTGATATAAAGAAAACAAAGGTGCCCTGGCCAGTTTGGCTCAGCAGTTAGAGCATCAGCCTGCGGACCAGAGAGTCCCAGGTTCCGTTCCTGCTGAGGGCACGTCCCTCTGTTGCAGTTTGTCCCTGGGGTCGTCCCTGGCCCTGGTTAGGGTCGTGTGGGTGGCAACCACTTGATGTGTCTCTCTCACATCCATTTCTCTCTCTCTTCCTCCCTCTCTCCCTCCCACTCTATCTGAAGATAAATGCAAAAATGTCCTCTGGTGAGGATTAAAAAACCCAGAAAACAAAGATAACAGCACTTGGACTCCTAAATGCGGTGGCTTAAGAATGAATCTGCTCTGTGCACACATAAGAGACATAAAGCAGAATATGCTCTATGGGAGGGTTCTGTGGGAGGCTAAGTGTGTGGCACAGTTATAACAAATCACGGCATATTATCTGCTGTTTGGGAGCACTGTAGTTTCCTTTTCACAAAGCTTTGTTCTATCTAGGCAGAGGAAAGAACTAGAGGGCAGTTAAACGGAGAAGGGGGAAATTACTTTCCTCGCTGAGTCTCTTCCAGCTTGCTCCTGTTTCATAACACAAAGCGCAGGAACAGTAATTGTACATGTGGTAAATATTCCCATTAGTGGAGTATTAATGCGGTATTTTCTGGTAATTCCTTCTACTGTCCCCTAGTCGGATGGCACCCCCTGGCCTTTGGAGGCAGAGCAGTGTGGAGTCTGCCCCGCATGATGGCACACAGGCAGCCCCCCCCAGCCTGCCCCCCCAGACACCCTCCGCCGGCAGCTTCCGCTCATCCAGAGGCGGCAGAGCGCACACCTCTCTGCACTTGCCATTTTTCCTGGAAGAAATTATGGCGAACAGGCAAGTGGGTAGGCTTAGCGACATCTTCTATATATAGCCTGTATATCCTTGATTGGAAAACACTTGGTAAAAACAGATGTTTGATGTTTTAAAATTCAGAATGTGTCTTGCAGTCACTGTCAAACGAGATCTGCCTGTTTCCCAGCGGAACTGTAAGTTGTGCTGTGTTGTCCTGAGCATGCTTCGTGTTGCTGGAAGCCCGTCTTTTTATCTGATTGCCAACTTAGATGAGTTCTTTGTGAGCGTTCTTAATGTGGGTGAATTCTAATCTAATTCTAGACCCCCCGTTGGCTTTTAAAAACCGTTCAAATATTACAATTCAGCAAACTTTTTTGTTTAAAAATGAAGATTGCCTGTTACACGACGAGTGATTAATTTCAAAACAACAGGGATTAGCACATACTTTGAACTAGGTCAGAAAAATCTCAGGATTGGAGGAGATTTGTGTGACTAAATCATGTTCTGAGAAAGAATTTTTCTTGGGAACAGTCCATCTTTTAAAAGGTTCTAGCTAACTTCCCCCCCCTAAAATGTATATGAAAATGTTTAATATTTAGTGGAAATAATATAAAAATGTATTTAAAAAGTCAATAAACTCCTTTGCCTCCTCTCCATCCATTCCCAGCCCCATTCCTCCCCATGTCTTTTTCATGCTCATGCGTGAGGTGCACAAGCAGGCTTTGTTTAAAAATTGCCACGCTTTATGCTAATCCCCAGACGACCGATAGCAGATTTGTCGAGGGGCCTCACACGCCCTCAGGCCTCCAGGATTTCTGTGCACACCAGCCCCTGGTGTAGTAGCCCTCCCCACAGGGCCCTTTGTGAGCGGGCCCTCAGGGTGCTGGAACATGCTTTGCTTGTGCTCAAGGGGCACTAGAGGCACCTAAGCATTTATACCCACCCTCCAGCCCTGGCCAGAGTGATGAGTGCAAAGTACAAACTGTAGCTCTCTTGCTCCCTTGATCAGTGCAACGTAGTCAGTCTTTTCAGGTAACCTCCTGACTCGGTTTTGTTTTGGACACTAAGAACAACGCTGTCTATAATATACAACTTTGTCCAGATGGTTCCTGACTTACAATGGTGCAAAAGTGATACACATTTAGTAGAAATTGTACTTCAAATTTTGAATTTTGATCTTTTCCCGGGCTAGCCATAGGCAATAGGACACTCTCTGTGTGATGCTGGGCAGAGCAGTGAGGCGATTTTGCCTAGCTGTAGGTTAATGTAAGTGTTCTGAGCACGTTTAAGGTAGGCCAGCCTAAGCTACTGGTAGGGTCAGTGTATTAAATGCATTTTCAACTTATGACACATTCAACTTATGATGGGTTTATCAGGATGTAACCCCATCGTAAATCTAGGAGCATCTGTACGTATTTACCTAAAGTGTATAAAAGGTATCCTCTCTACTTGAATCTACTGAGATTGAAATAAGCTACTCGCTATAATATTGAGATAAAGTGGTGAACCTAGAAGTCTGAAGAGGGGTATAAGGGATGGAACTAGGCAAAAGAATTTTGGTTCTTTCTTTCAACAAATATTTATGGATCTCCTATTATGTGCAGGTTCCGCACATAATAGGTGGAGAAAAAAACAGAAATTTTTGTTGGGTGGAGAAAAAAACAGAAATGGTTCTTGCCCTCTTGGAGCTTGTCAAGTGGGGGTAAAAGACATTAATCTATAATCTTATAAGTCTTTGCAAATTGGATAAGTGCTACGAAGAACAAACACGGTGATCTGCATGCACATGACTGGGAATGGCAGATCAGGGACAAGCTCTCTGGGGAAGTGGCAGTTATTAGAAAATAGAACAATAAAACATTCCCAATATTTAGATTATTTACACAATCCTAAAATTCATTCCCAAAAAAACTTGTTTTATTTTGTATTTATTAGCACTGAATAGATCTGAAATTGAGTTTTGCTCCAACTAATAATGACTGCATGTTTTTTCTGAATTCTTCAGAAACTTCTTTCTGTATCTATCCTGCCCAACCCCACATCCTTTCATGGCTATCTCCTTTAAGAAATTGTGATTATATTTGCAAGGTGGAATTTTCTGACCTTCTAGCTCCACCTCTTTCCTGGCTCATATTAGGCTAAGATGCTAGAAGGAGGTCTTTAATGAGGTGATGAGAAGTGACAAGGACCCTGTAGAACACCAGGAGATCTTTAAGTAGGATAGATGGCCATATTCACAGGAGAAAGATTTGTCTTACAAATGTATCATGCTGAGGTATCTGGAGAGTCCAAATCCTACCACTGCTTCCACTCTAAGAAGAAAACCTGGTGGAACTCATGAACTAAGGACGGGCCCTCCAGGATAAGGCAAAAGGGAAGAGAGTGAAAATTAAGCGGACCAGAGAGACTAGAAGAAATCTGATGCCCAGAACAGTTCCTGACACATTGTAGGTGTTCAATAAATATTTGTGTAAATGAATGTATGAATGATGCTCATCAGGGCTTAATTGTACATAGACTGATCAGCAGCCTCATGACTGTTTTGCGTCACACCTTGGACTCTTTAGGTGAACATGATGGTTTAATGAGTTTTCTAATAATGTCTTGTGCTTGCCAGAATTTTTAAATTCTAAGGCATCAGGTAAGAATACATACCACCCTTTCTTAAGATGTGGGAAGTATCAGATATGAACGAAGTAGGAGTGTAGGCAAACCCAGGGCCAGGGGAAGGGAGCGCGTTGCTTGGCCAGACCGAGTCACTGTCCAGAGGCTTAGGTACCACCATTTTCCTGCACCCAAACTGGATACAGTGGTTGGACAGCTGGGAACCAAGAAGTCCTGTGTGACTAGAGTCATGAAAAGCAAAGTTGGTCAGGGTAAAGCACAACCTTGTTGGTGACAGGGAGAAGACCTGTCCTCACCTCAAACCAAGTCTTACTGTAAGTAGGCTGGACATAATTATGATGACCTCCTGGCTATGTTGAAAAAAGCCCTGATTTACATTTAATTTTTCTTATGGAAATTTGAGAAATTGGAATTGAAAATCAAGGCCAGCTATTTATTTATTTTTTAAAATTAATTTATTTTTTATTTATTAATTTGTTTTTGTTACAGATGTTTCTTATTTTTCCCCCAGTGACACCCTCCTCCCTTTCCCTAACCCCCACCTCATCCCCAGCTTTGATGTCTATGTTCATTGGTCATGCATACATGCATATAAGTTCTATGGTTTATCTCTTCCTCCCCCAAACCCCCCTCCTCTGAGGCTTGTCAGTCTAAATAGACGCCTCTCCAAAAAGGCCAAGAGACATATGAAGAAATGCTCAGCATCACTAATCATCAGAGAGATGCAAATTAAAACAACTATGAGGTATCGCCTTACATCTGTCAGCATGGCTGCCATCAACAAATCATCAAACAAGTGTTGGCGAGGGTGTGGAGAAAAGGGGACTCTAGTACACTGCTGGTGGGAATGCAGACTGGTGCAGCCACTGTGGAAAACACTATGGTGTTACCTCAAAAAGTTAAAAGGTCAGCTATTTATTAAGCACTTATACAAAACACTGGACTAGGTGCTCTGGGATATGGGAGGATGTGGGTGGGGAGGAAGGAAAAAGAATTTGTAGTCAGACTCAAGAATATGAAGTCAGACTCTAGATTGCATATATGAAAGATCGTACATGAAAAGAAATGAGTCATGCATGGCATTAAGCAAGTGCCAAATTGTCAGGCACTTATGAGAGAATTATGCTCTCAGAACTTGGAGGAGGAAGGGTTAGCTGGAAGACTAAAGATTCAAGGTTTGAACTAGACCTTGAAGGATGAACTGGTAGAACCACTTAGACTAAGTAAGGATCTCAAAAGTCTGAGAATTGCTCTTATCTTTCTTGCTCACCTCTTTCTTCAGGCTCTGCCGGCCCCAGTGGATGAAGGGTCTAATGTAAAGGAGAACAGGGTGCCTGACTTTAGCGCTGCCTTTTTTATCTCTGCAGAGGGAGAGGCATTAACAGTAACACGCCAGCTTTCTGCTATAGACTGGACTGGTATTGTGGGCTATTATTGTCTTCAAAAACTGGCTGTGTGCCCTCACGCTGCTAAGGCCTTGAACATAAGATTCTGGAGGCCATGTGTTTAAAAATTTCCCCTGCTTCCTAGGACCTGCGGTGTCTGGAATTAGAAGACAGAAATGCGTGCCCTTTGGAATCTTGATTGCTTGGCAAGTACAATCCTGGACACCGAGGGTCGGTTAGGTGTGGTCAATTTTTCTTAATCCCAACTTTTCTCCTTCTTAGAGCTACTTTAAGTTCTCTGGCAATGTTCCCATGTAAGGGTGGCCCTCTGGAGAAGCGTAGGTATTTTCCTTCCTTTTATTATTATTTTTTTTAAAGTTCCCGAACCAGAAGTCGCTAACTCCTTCCTGCCCAACCCTGGACCCAGAGTTTCTGACTTCTCCCCAGAGACAGTTACTTGGAAACTTTTGAGCCAGTGGAGAATCAACTTAGAGGCTTTCTTCCCCTTTTAGATCAGTGGGAATATTATGTGTCATGGATGGAAAGATTTGAATACTACCATTATCACAGAGTCTATATAACAAGACTATTTCCGTGTCTTGGCACACAGCCTGAATTAACTTTGCTTTGCTGTATGTAGCTACAATGAATTCTGTTTGAACAAGAAATCATCTGTAACAAATGCTTTTGCAAAGCCATGCCCATTGACCAGTTACTTGAATAAAGATGTGCTCCAGCAAGGGGATTTGGTACAACAGCTATATGTAAACACCTATACAATGTTTAACGTAACATCTAAAAAATAAACTTTCTACTTTAGAATAGGGTTACAGAACAGTCGTGAAGTAGTACAGAAAGTTCCTGTCTACTCCATACTGTTTCCCTCATTATTAGCAACTTAAATTAATGTGGTACATTTGTTCTCATCTGTGAGCCAATATTGACACAGTGTTATTAACTAAAGTCCATACTTTATTCCAGTTTACCTAGTTTTCCCCCAGTGTTTCTTTTCTGTTCCAGAATACCATGCAGGATTCCACATTACATTAAATCTTCTTCATGTCTTCTTGGTTGTGTCATTTTCTAGACTTTCCTTGATTTTGATGCCTTTGACAGTTTTTTTTTTTTTTTTTTATTGTTGAAAGTATTACAGATGTCCCATTTTTCCCTATTGACCTCTTCCTTCCCACTCCCCCCCCCCTCCGCCCCCCCCCCCCACCTCCCTCAGCCTAGTGTCCATGTTGATTGTTGTGCATATATGCGTGTAAGTCCTTCGGTTTATCTCCTCCCACCCCCATCCCGCTGAGGTTTGTTGGTCTGTTCCCTACTTCCATGATTCTGGATCTCTTTTGGTCAACAGCTTATTTTGTTCATTATATTCCACAAATAAGTGAGATTATGTGGTACTTGTCTTTCTCTGACTGGCTCATTTCGCTCCGCATAATACTCTCCAGGTCCCTCCAGACTTTGACAGTTTATAGAAATACTGGTCAGGTATTTGTAGAATGACCCTAGTTTGGCATTTGTCTGATATCTTTCTCATGACTATACTGCATTACATATTTTTTTGAATGAGGACCGCAGGGGTGAAGTATTTCACAACATCATACCAAGGAAATGTACTATCAACAGTTCTTAGCACTGTTGATATTGACCTTGGTCCCCTGGCCAAGGCAGTGTTTCCCAGGTTTCTCCACTAAAATCACTCTGACTTTCTCCCTTCCCATACTCCAGCCTTTGGAAGGTAGCCACTATGTGCAGTCCACACTTAGGAGTGTTCCATTCCACCTTCTAGAGGGCAGAGTATCTACGTAACATATTTGCAAGTCTCCTGAACAGGAGCTTTATTTATTCTCTCTCATTTATTTATATATTCAATAACGTGTACCAGCAGAGATTCATGGATATTTATTTTATACTTGGGCTTATAGATGAACCTGAATTTGTTGTTCAGAGTGTTCTAGCTTTGGTTTTGGGAGCTTTTACAGTAGGCTCCTGTGTCAGTTTAATATTCCTCACCGCTGCGGTGTTTTATTTCTTCCTTATTTTCTGGCATTACGAGATGCTCTAGGCACACCTTGTCTGTTTCCTGCCCCAGTCCTAGAATCAGCCATTTCTCCAGGGAGATCTGGTTCCTTTAGAACATAAATTCTGGGGACTAGGTATGCTCATTGCCACTTGGGTATCATTGTTTCTAATGCTTAGATCAAGGGAACAAACATTCTAAACCTTGTATACACACAACTATCAACGTTGCTATATTTATCCATCTGCATATTAAACTAGAGTTCATATTAATGCCTCCAACTTGAACCCATCACTACATGGATCATCCTAGCCACCTCCACTTACTTGTCTGAAACCTTTCACCCCAGCAGTGAGAATCCTAACTCCTACTGTCATCCATTTACTTAACTGTTCGAGTCCAGTGTACATGTGCAGTGCTCTCAGAGTTGGGAATCTGTTTTCCCATGGGAAACAACTTCATCAAATGGAGAAATGTGGTTTTGTACAATTCCTTTTGCCTTTAGTCTTGCATACTTCGCCTTAGGTCAGCACTTTGCCCCTACTAGCTTCAGTGCAGTTGTTTCATACATTTGTAATGTAGTCAGACTCTTTTGTTACAATCTACATTCCTTTCTGGGATCCCTTAACCTCCTGAAGGATTTTTGAAAAATTCGTAACATTAAAGTTCATTCTTTGTCCTCTAGAGTTCCATAGATTTGCTGTATGTAATTATGAGTCCATCATTACAGTACATATGGGACAATGTCACCACACTAAAAAGTCCTCTGTGTGTCGCCCTGGCCACTTTGGCTCAGTGGTTAGAGTGTTGGCCTGCGGACCAATGAGTCACGGGTTTGATTGTCTGGAGGCATCCAATCAATGTTTTTCTCTCCCTCTCTCTCTCACTCACTCTCTCTCCCTCCTTCCCACTCTATCTGAAGATAAATGAAAAATATCCTCGGGTGAGTATTAAAAAAAAATCCTCTGTGCGTCACCCATTCAATCCTCCCCCCACCCCAGTGAATCTTTGGCAACCACTGATATGTTACTGTCTCTATTTAAATTTATCTTTTAAAAATTTTAAATTGAAAAACATTTTAAAAGAGTTTTGGAGCTTTTATAAATTGATTGGGCTTTTATAGATGGTGAGGAGTTTCTTTGAAAATGAATGTCTTTGACCTTAAAGAAGTTACAGCTGTTACTCATTATCATACCTGCAACTTGTGCATTTGGGGCGTGCCTCTTGAAGAAGCAATACAATTTTATCATTTTTAAAGAAGTGACATTTTACTCATTATTTTTGCAGATGTTGAGATATTTCGAGGAATCAGGGCACTTGAGATAGAAGGTGACGAAGGTAAACAGAATGTTTCAACAGAAAATGTAAGACATTACAGTTCAATTTTAGCTCATGCAGGGAAAGAGGCAGTAGCTGTAGCTCAAATAAGAGTGGTTATATATAAGTTGTGAAATACTGATGTAAAATAAGATAATACCTACACAACACAGACTTCACTAAGTACTGGGCTCAGGTTAGACGTTTACCTGTAGTTTAGGATCTTCATTTAAATTCTGCAAACTTCTTATTAAGTGTCTTCTCTGCTCAAGATTGCTGTGCTGCATGCCCTAGGTCTGCCTTCTGGTGCCACTGTTTGGTCACAAACTTCCCCTGTGGAAGAAGGGGCCATTCTGCAACATTCAAGGGTGTCTCCTGCCTCAGAGTTCAAGGCATTCCTCTCTGATGACCCAGGCCACAGGCTTATCCTGGAAAGACAAAGACATAGGTGAGCCCAGGTCATTCTTCCCTCCCCACGCCCCTTGCTCAACATGGCTCCAGTTCCACAGTTGCTATTGAATATATAAGATCACTTTAAATTTGGGGAAGGGGGTGGAGAGGTCCTTTGTGCTGTAGGAGGGAAAGGACTTCTGCTCTCACTTCCCTCGAGTGCCCTGGGTTGCTTCTGAAAAATAAATGGAAGATATCGAAGGGGGAAAAAAATAAGCAGCACGAGAAGCGAAGACAATGTATTGTTTAATCTGAACACAGATGTAGCATATAGGGTGGGGCAAAAATAGGTGTATAGTTGTGAGTATGCAAAGCACAGAGTTTATTCTTGTATTATTATTTATTAATTATTGTATTCTTTTCCATGCACACAACTGTACACCTACTTTTGCCTCATCGTGTATATGCAAAGAGGAAAGGAACTCACACTTGTTGAGTGCCAGCTATGTGCAAGGGTATCTGTTGTAAGTGTGAACCCTCAGAAAGAAGATACCTACTAAGAAGGACTCCTGGTGGCTAACTGGGCTCAGTTTTTAAAACAATACTGAGCTTAGCAGCCATTTCTTCACAGGAGCCTCTCATGCAAACTGCACTTCAAGGAGATGCCTGTGTTGAACAACCTGCCTCTGCACTGAACTTCCTGCCTATACTATTTCTGCCATCTGAGCCAGCCCTTATAAATGAGTTCCTGGAATCTTGTTTCAATCAATAGGACTGAGACTTTCTCCATCAGAGCTGTGCAGCTATATTCCCATTAACTTCTTCACCAACCAATCAGAGCAACTCCATTTGGACCAATCAGGACAGTGCTTTTTGACCAATCAAACTGCAAGGGTTTGGAGTCTTCATTTGCATGAAGATGGGCTAATCAGGGACCAAGGGCTGAGACTTCTGTCTACATAAATCAGCTCCATTCTGGCCTTGGGAGCACACTTTCCCTTTCCACTGAAGACTGTTTTCCCCAGCTGAAGCCAAAACACTGACGATATCTTGCAGGAGCAGAGCAGACTAGTACAGGCCAGAGCAGACTGGTACAGAGCAGGGCTGTCTAGCCAGAGAGGGGCCTGGCCCCTGGGTGGCCTGACCCCAGGGCCACCTCATGGCCATGGTGTATTTCAGTTGAGCTGTTGCACTGAGTAACATTTCCTTCGTCATCACACCCTAAATTGGGGATTTCTGTTGACCTTGAATGGGCACCCTTGACTGTCCCTATCCCCTACAATGACTCTGTGAAGTAGATTTAAAGAAAAGAAATCTTTCCCAGCTGGTGTGGCTTAGTGGACTGAGTGTCATCCCACCAACTGAAGGGTCCTGGTTCGATTCCCAGTCGGGGCACATGCCTGGGTTGTGGGTTCAATCCCCAGTGTGGGGTGTGCAAGAGGAAGCTGATTGATATTTCTCTCTCACGTCAATGTTTCTCTCTCAAAAATTAATAAAAACATTAAAAAAAAAGAAAATAAATCTTTATTTTACAGATAAAGGAAAAGATCTGGAGGGGCTCACTAACTTGTTTAAGATCACACAGTAAAGATTTGCACCTAGACATACTGAACTCTAAAGGCTTGGCAGCACATTAATGTCATCTGGGACCTTAAACAAAAAACCAGAAACCAACACCTTTGCCTAAGCCCTTTCCCCAGACCAAATTTAATCCCAATCTCTAAGGGAGATGGGCAGTAGCATATGTTAAGTGTCCCAAATGATTATAATGTGCAGCCAGGGTTGAGAACTGTGGTTCTGCTCTGAGAGACAGTCTCTCTCCTACTGTTCTCCTAAAAGAAGGGAAGGGGCATTTTCTGAACCAATATGCATTCTAAATACTCTTGGAGCTTATTTAGATCCCCCACCACTATTTCCTACCCCTCACATGGGTTGTTATCATCTCTGAATAACTGTAAGCAAGCAGATGGAGTGGGAGCAGAGGTTATTATTGATGGTAGAAAAGTACAAATTCAATTGAGTTAATTTAGTCTGTTTCTCTTTTGATAAGATGTGCATGTAGAGCTGATAGATTGTCAAAGCACAAATAGTATGACATGATTTTCAAAATGTGTTGGCAATTTTGTTTATTGAGTATTCACAGACCAACACCACAGTACTGACTTGGAAAATTGGTTTATAGGGGTTTAAGAAGATGGGCTTAGGTCTGTTGCTGGTGGGGAAAACAATCTATGAACTCCCGGGATCAGATTTGTCAATTGCCACTTAATATATAACATTTTACTCTATGATTATTGAAGTTCTGTGATTTAAATGTCTATGGCATCCCTTAGCAATGATAAAAATACACATTTTACAGTCTTCTTTTAGCCTTGAAACTAAGCATGAACTAGAACTGTTTTAAAAAAATATCAAAAGGTCATAATGTTTGAACACTGTCAAAGATTATGAAGAACACTTTAGTTCAAAAATATTCAAATATAATAAAAGACAAATGGATAAATAAATGCATTCTTGGAAATGACAAAACATGTCATTTTGTACAATAGTTTCCCTAGACACATAAAACCAGAGTACCTCCTTTCATGTGTTTTATCAATAGACTTCTGTTTTAATGGAGAATTAGAAACAGTGTAGAGACCATAATGCCCATTTTCTACCCTATTCCACTAGCTACCCAACCCTGACTTCCAGTGATGCAGAAACCACCACTGTTCTGTCCAACTTAAGAAGTCCCTGCTTGGTCACTGTTGGATGTTTGGAGAGTGCCTCAAATTGTCAAACCCACCATGGAAATTGCACAATGGACAGAAAACCACACTGTAGATATGGTCTTTCTGTTACTGAACTCAAGGGTTTCATCATTTAGGATATTCCCTTTAAAAATGAGACATGGTTGTTGTTAGGTCGTTGTATTTACTTGCGACAAATAATCTCTTACACAGGAGATTCACATCCAAAACTCTGTCTCCCCAAAGGAAAGCTCAATCATTGAATATATATATACACACATATAATATAAATATACACTATGTATACACACACACACACATTATGTGGTTAATTAAACACACTATTTGGTTAATTACATGTTGATTTCTTCTTTGTAGTTGGCTACACTTACCCATTGGGGTTGGGTTCCTGTCAAGCTTCTCCTGTCTACAACTTTGTCTGAAAAATACTGTATATACTACATTTTAACATTCAGAAAGAATAACTCTCAATAAGAACCACCCAGGCCTTGAGACTTTTGTCCTACCTAACACTTCCTGACTTCTACACCTAATGTTACCAGAGCTTGAGACTCTTATCCTAACACTTCCTGAATTCTACATCTAATGTTATGTTCCACAAAAGAATTTAAGAACATCTTGATATTGCCGCCTGATTATTGTGCTATAGACACATTGCACAGTGAATATATTTTTCTTGCTTTCATTGGTATAACAGCTTTTGAGCTTTGACTAGTTTGTTATTCAATTAATTTTCTTTTTTTTGCAAACAATCTCTTTCATCTGACTATTTGCTCTTTAAACGAAATGCTCAGTCTGTTTTGCGATGATCATCTTGCCAGATTATAGCAATTTTAAAAACTGAACCTTGCCATTCCTCAACCCTGAAGCCAATTTTGCATATGGCTACTGGCTCAGTAAATAAGTCTTCAATCGTGTTCCTTAAAGCTCTGGGACAATTCCCTTATAACTATTGCACACCACCAGATAATCTTTCACTTTTTAACCTAAGATACTTTTTAATCTTTTATTGCAGAAAATTTTAAACATACAAAGTAGAGAAAATAGTAAATCAAATCTCCATGTACCTATCACCCAGTTTCAACAAAGATCACCTCATTCCTAATCTTGTTTTTATCTATACCTCATCTACTCCTTCTCTTTCTTAAAGTAATCTCAGATTTCTTCTGTATGTATTTCAGCAAATACCATCAAAAGATAAGGATTTTTGGATAGTGATAGCCCCAATACTATTATCATGCCTTAAAAATTAATAGTTCTTTAATATTATTATATATCCTATCAATGTTCAATTTTTTCAATTGTTTCAGAGTGTTTTTTTTTTAAACTGGTTTGAATCAGAATTTAAGGTCTAGACATTACATTTAGTTGGTATATCTTTTAAGTCTCATTTAGTCTTAGGTACCTCATCTTTTTTCTTCCCTTCAATTTATTTGTTAAAAATTGAATTGTTTTATAGTGCTTCCTCAGACTAAATGTTACTGATTGAATTCCTAGTTACTGATTGAATTCCTTTTAACATGGTTTTCTGTGTCCTGTAACCTGTCAACTGGTAGTTATATCTAGAGGCTTCAATGTTTTGGCAAGACTACTGCAGAAGGTGTGTGGTGTGTCCTACCAGAAGGCCTTCAATGAATATTTGCACTTCCTTTTGTGACATAAGCAGTCATTGAGTATTGCTTAGCTTCATTACTTGGTTAGGTGTTTGTACAATGGTGATACCCTAATGCTATCAATTTTATTCTTTCATTATCTGGATTGCTTTAAGGAAACTTTCCGTCATCAACTATTTGGTTGTCTTGTGGTACAATTTGTGCAGCAAAGGCATGTTGGGGGTTGATATTTTCCCCTTTTACTTACTTGTTTTCAGAATAACAAATTGGTTCCAAAGGTGAACAATGATTTATTTATAGCATCTTTATGAACACCTGGGTGTCAACATATCTCATGTATTTCAATTCATTTCAGTTATTATTTCTAATTGCTGCTTAAGTTTTTACTACTTTGGCTAGTTGGCTCCGGAGTCCTTTTGACACAACCCTAGTAGTTTTAGACAGTGTCCTTGCTTCTGGTATGACAAAACAGTCTAGGCTCATCTTTCACACTTCCTGCCCCAGACTTGGAATCGGTCATTTTTCCAAAGAGCCTTGGTTTGTTTTAGTGGAAAATAGTATTTAGAGATCGCAACCTTCTGCTGGCATAGAAGGTAGAGTAAAGAGCTACAGGGAACGAGAAAATGAGCTGTGGATATTTAGAAAAATAGCAGTCCAGGCAGAAGGAACAGCAGGTACAAAGACTCTGAGAACAGAACAAAAGAAACAAGGAGAGGAAAGTAGTAGGAAAGAAAGATGAAGAGAAGTGAAGGCGAGCACGCCCGCTGGAAGGACTTTAGTTTTGCTTGGAGTCAGGTGGAAGCCATTGGAGGGTTTTGAACTGTGAAATGACATGATCTTTTGTTTTAATTGAATCACTATGGGTTCTGGCTTGAGAATGAACTGAGCAGGGTGAAGAGTGGAATCCGGAAGAAGGGTATCACAATAAACCAGGTGAGAGATGATGTGGCTTGGGAGCAGTGGAGGAAATGAGAAGAGATCAGGTTCTGGATGTATTTTGAAGCTGGAAACCGAAGAATTTGCTAAAAATTGGAGCTGGATTGTGAGGACAGAGAATTTAATATGACTCTGCGGTTTATGGTCTGAGACATGAGTGAAATTGTAACATATCATGGTATATGACTGGCATCTCTTCTGTGGGTGAGTGCTATGTTTGTGGAGAGGGGGGAAGGACCGAAGAGGGGTCAGGCAGAGCTTCACAAAGGACTAGATAGATAAATGGATTCATGAGGACCAGATGAACGAGACGGGAAAGAACGTTCTGAGCAGAAGGAACAACTTGTATAAATGCAGAGTCATGAAAGGACTGTGGGTTGGGAATTATAATTCATTTTTAGGGTACAGGGACCTATGGCAGGAAATGAGTCTAGAGAGGAAGAGAGAAGCTTACATATCCCGTAATAGGAATTTTAATTGTATTTTATGGATGACAAGGAGACTAGAATTTTTTGAGCCTAGGGATGACATGATCAGGTATACGCTTTAAAAAGATCATCTGGGCAGCAGAGTGAGAGAAATGATGGTATAGAAAAAAATGAAACTTTAAACATTCTAAGAATTATCAAAGGCCATTTTATCATTAAAAGAAAGATGAATATCTTCATCCCTTTTTAAAAAGCCCCTTTATCTCTGTGAGTGCAGTTTTTTTTTATCCTCACCTGAGGACATTTTCCCATTTTTTTGTTCAGATAGAGTGAGAGGAAGAGAGAGAGTGAGAGAGAGAGAGAGAAACATGGACGTGAAAGGGACACATTGAGTGGCTGCCTCCCGCATGACCCAACCAGGGCCGGGGACAAACTGCAACTGAGGTATGTGCCCTTAGCAGGAATGGAACCCGGGTCGCTCTGGTCCCCAGGCCGATACTCCAACCGCTGAGCCAAACCAGCCAGGGTCTAGATAGCTTCTCTATGATGAAATTGAAGGAAGTTGGGTCAGTTGTCAAAGTAACATTTAGTCAATGATGCCAAGACAAAGTAGAACATGATAGGAGTCTTTGAGTTTTAATTTTGTTTGAAATAGAAAACTGTTGCCCCAGTGCCCAAAGTGAGTCTCTCCTTGACATGTTCAGGAGCTGGTCTGTCTGTGTCCTTCACCTAACCCGTCACTCACTCTGCAGCTTCCCCTTGATCATTCTTTACTCCTTTTAGCTTTGATCGTCTGTTCTCCATTCTGTGGTTCATAGGACGTTCTGTGGACATGTTTTTTCAAAAATTTCTTTAAAACAATGATGCCAAAACAGTTATAAACTCATTATAAAAATTGTTGGTTTTCTTATATATATCCCATTATATTACTTAAAAACAGTTTTACCACAATAGGACAAATATCAAACCAATCTTCTTTATTAGAGATAGAGTCTAGCCCTGGCCGTTTGACTCAGCGGTTAGAGCATTGGCCTGCGGTCCAGAGAGACCCGGGTTTGGTTCCTGCTAAGGGCATGTACCTCGGTTGCAGTTTGTTCCCAGCCCTGGTTGGGTCGTGCAGGAGACAGCCACTGGATGAGTCCCTTTCACGTCGATGTTTCTCTCTCTCTCCCTTCCTTTCTCTCCCTCCCACTCTATCTAAAAAAAAAGAGAGAGAGAGAGAGAGATGGAGTCTAAACTAGCTCTGGATGAGGCATCCATTTTTTTTTCATTTACTATAATTAGTTGTTATTATAAATGCAGAATCCTGTAACTATGAACCATTTAGTAAGATAAAGAGTCTTGTTTTCCCGGCCGGTGTGGCTCAGTGGTTGAGCGTTGACCCATGCACCAAGAGGTCACTGGTTTGATTCCCGATCAGGGCACATGCCCAGGTTGTGGACCCAATCTCCAGTGGGGGGCATGCAGGAGGTGGCCAGTTGATGTTCTCTCTCATCGATGTTACTATCTCTCTCTCCCTCTCTCTCTAAAAATCAATAAATAAAAATTAAAAAAAAAGAGTCTTGTTGTACAGACCCAGATAAAGGCATCAAACATTTATTGAGCACATACTATGGGGCAGGCACTGTGCAAGGAACAACAGAGATGCCTAAACTAAAAAATCAGCCCTGCCCTTATTAAAAAATAAGGTTGAAAGTATAGGCATGCACTAAATAATGATGTTTTGGTCAATGAAAGATCATATAAAAGAAGGTCATCACATAAGATTATAATGGAGTCAAAAGAGTCTTATCACCTAGTGATGCCATAACCATCATATCACAATACATTACTCAAGTGTTTGTGGTGCTGCTGGTATAAACAAACCTAATGCACTGCCAAGTGTATAAAAGCATAGCATGTACAATTCTGTACAGTGCCTAATACTTGATAATGATAATAAACAACTATGTTGTGGTTTATGTATATGCTATATTATACCTTTTGTTGTTATTTTAGAGTGTGCTCTTTCTACTTGTATACAAAAAGTTTGCTGTAAAGCAGTATGCTGTGTTATGCTGGCAGCAGCTTCCAACATCTTGTGTTTAGAGCGTCTCTTGATTGCATTATTTTCTCTTGTGCTTGCTTTAATCTGTTGTTCTGTACAGTGACATGCTGCCCAGGCTTGTACAGTAGAAGCAGTAGGCTCTACTATATAGCCTAGGTGTGTAGTAGGCTATCCCACCGAGGTGTGTGTAGGTGCACTCTGTGATGCTAGCACAGGACAAAATCGCCCAACCTTGCATTTCTCAGGACATATCCCCATCATTAAGTAGCATGTGGCTGTATAGTTAAGAATATATTTTCTATATAGAGTCAAATACAGTCTTCAGTGGTCACAAATTTACTGGTTTATGTGAAGGAAATGTCTTATGGTATAATTGGCTTTAGACAAAAATTCTCATACTGGAGAAGCAATGCAGAAAAAACATGAACTAGTAATTAGGAACCAGATCTACGTTCCTGCTTTGATGCTATTCGTTAATTCAACCATTCATCAAATATTTATTGACAGCCTGCACTGTGGGGAAAACTGTACTAGGTGCTGGGGAGCACTTACCTGCTCTTTATCTTTGTGAACATATGTGGCTTAACTTCTCCACATCTCTGACCTTGGTTAGACTAGATGTCTGAGGCGTCTTTCAAAACGAAAATGCTAAGGTTTCTGACAGCCTCGTGGAGGGAGAAGCTGCCCAGGCAGCCTTGGGACTTGAGGACTTACCTTCCTCTCAGAGGATTAGCTCTTGTCCTGATTTCAAAATAACTTCGTCTACGGCTTTAAAATCTTGTTGCCAGCCTCTTACCTGCATTTGGGTCATCTTGGGAAAGTCTGAGAGTGGCAATTCCTGCTCAGAAGACTAAAGAGGCAGGAGGTCACAGTTTGGAAAAAAAGGTGTACAACTTGCGTCAGTAAAGCTAGAGTTGCTCCCAGCAAGCAGCCTCCTCTGCTGCAGACCTGGCCTTCCGTCCGACAACTCCTGCCTTGGCGGTCCGTCGCTTGGGTGATCTGTTGCTGTTCTGGTTGAATAAGCCCTAAAAAGCGGCTTGCTCACCAGGGACCAGAAGTGATCAGCCTCATGGGGTGGGAAGAACTGTCCTTGCATCCCAGTTTTTCCAGTGGGTATCAAGGTAACAAGTTTCTTGTTATCTGGCTTCAAGATTGCAATAAGTAAATAGCATTTTTGCTTGCAGCCAAGATACATTTTTCTCAAGGGGGAAAATGGATTTCTGTAACAATGAGGGAGGAAAAGAGCGGGAGAGAGGTATTTTAACACGAATACAAAAAGTTACAACCCGGGGAAGCCTTCTCGTAGCTTTACGGAAATGAGCAGCTGGACTCCGCTGCCAAGGCCAATCTGTCGTTTCCAGTCAATGAAAAAGACAGAGTTAGAGGTTCCTTCCTAAACCGGCGGCTAATTTAGCCCCTCCCACGAGCCGGAGGGTCTGTTATATCTCTGTTCCTTGAGTACCTCTTTCACTGAGACCGACCACAGCAAGCAGAGGCTGAAAAAAAAAAAAAAAAAAAAAGAACAAAGAGGAAGAAAACAAAAGCTGCCAATTATGGAAGATGTAAAGGGTAAGAGCAAAATTGATTTGATCCGAATCCTTAGGAACAACAACAACAACAAAAAGAACAGAGGAAAAAAAAATAACAACAACCAAAGCCCAGACTAAAAGCAAGTACTTGGAAAAGCAAGAGGCAAAATGCCCTAAATGAATTTTCCCAGCCTCTCCTTCTGAGAGGAGGCAGAGAAAGAACTTCGGGAAACTTTTTAAGAGGCAAAGCCCCGTGGTTGTTGTCAAGGGTGGCTCTGGAAGCAGCTGAAAGGGCTCATGAATATTCATTATTCATCTGTATTCAGATCTGTTTTTTTTTAGAGGTAAATGACTTCTTCCGTCCCCTTACAGTTTAAGAGGCAGCTGCCTCATTTATATTCCAGAGTCATCTTGCTTTGGTCTGGACCAGCGTATTTGCTTGAAGATGCTGGGCTCAGTGTGTAGATTTGTTTTGTTCTCTAATTTCCTGCGTGCTTTCCTGTTGTGAAATTAGCAAAGGCTTCTCTGCAGGGAGTTGGAGAAGTTAATGCTGCAAGAGGTTGCGGCACAACAGGACACCGGCGTATGTCCTGCGAAAGACTAAATGTTTTTTGGGAGGAGTGTGGGAGTGTGTGTGTGTGTGTGTGTGTGTGTGTGTGTGTGTGTGCAGGGGAGAGGGGATGGAGGGCTGAAGAAGATCAGTTTTATCTTAGAAAAGCAAGGCATATTTGACTGACTATACTGAGATTTTGTCTAAAAATTACAAGAGCAGCCTGCTTTGCACACAGGGTGTGCAGTCTCTGTCTTTTACCTCTTTTGGGCATTTTCTGCCAGGACGGAAAGCTAGCTGCTTGCCAGTCCGTGGGAGCCAGGAGGAATCTCTGCAGCAATGTGGGTGTGTTGGGTTGCAAACCTTCTTTTTGATTATCTCGTAATTTCTCATATCCTCACACATTTTTATTACACAGAACGTGGAGGAATGAAATGAGCAGCCAACAGATTTCTTAATAAGGATAATAATGATAGCCGTTAACATTTACAGTTTTTACCCTATGCCGGGAGCTGTTCTGAGCATGTTACACGTGTTATTTAATACATCAATTTATGAAATGAGTGCTACCTTACCATCCCCATTTTTTAAAATATCCTCACTTGAGGATATTTTTACATTGATTCCTAGATAGAGTGGGAGGGAGGTGGGAGGGAGGGAGGGAGAGAGAGAGAGAGAGAACATCGATGTCGATTGGTTGCCTCCCAAAAGATTGAGGGTACGTGCCCCTGACCGGAATCGAACCTGAGAGTCTTTGGTCCCTGGGCCAACGCTCTAACTGCTGAGCCAAACCGTTCAGAGCGCCACCCCCATTTTATAGATGATGTTGCTGAGGTGGTGGGAGAGTAGCTTGCTTCGGGATCACACAGGAAGTGGTGAATTTGGATGCAGGTGAAGGGGAACAGCATTGTGGACCCTTCTCTTCCCCCACACTGTTGCTCTACTCCCAAGGCTCTCGCTATTGCCCTGACACTGTTGATTTGAGGTTTGCAAATCCTTGAAGCTAGTGGGGGTAATGCTACTGATGAAATTGCAAGTCTGGGAAGGAATATGTGCTTTCCTGTGAAGTTCACATACATTTTCCTCACTTGGTACTGATGGCCCTTCTCTGTGGTAGAGCCCAGCTATTATCATTATTGCCTTTTACAGAAGGGAGAGACTGAGGCCAGGAAGGGTTAGGCGACAAGAATCTCACAGTTAGACTAGACCAGAAATCCCCTGCCTCTGGTTTTCTAAGCTGCAGAGCAAGCCCAGTCATTGCTGAACTTCTCTCCCCACCCCCAGGCACTTTCGGTTCCCCAAAAGACCTTGCTCCTTTCCTCCCTCTCAGTCTGTTGCAGGGAGCTTATCTCTGCCTTGAAGGTCTATCTGGCTCTCTTCTTTCCCTTTAGTCCGGGGCTATGCTGTCTGGGTTTGAATCCCAGCAGCATTATTGACTGTGTGCCTCAGTTTTTTCATCTGTAAAATGAAGAGCATATAATATCTACCTAATAAGGTTGTTGTACGGACTAAATGAGGGATTCATGGAAAGTTCTCAGAGCAGGACCTTATGTATATAGTATACACTCGATAAACGTTAGTTGTCTCAATCACTCCTTGGAGCCTCATCTTGGGTGTTAATTTCCCCACTGGAGCCTTAAATTAGGCTCTTTCTTGGATGTTTCTACAACACATCACCACCTAATGCCTAAGGTGGCTTGTTATACTGTCCACATTCCTGTCTTCTGCATTGCCTCCTCCTTCTCCCAGCCATAATTCTTTATTCACTCTTGGATCTTCAGTGACTAGAATAATGTTTAACATATAATGGGCACACAATAAATATTTATAAACTAAGTACTATTTTAGTTGCTGTTCATCCAAGAGTCAAGAGGCGGGTTTAACAAGGGACCTCTGAGTTTGCCGTAGAGGTCCTGCTGATACATACGGCTCTTGTGCAGTCTGGACACACATCCCTCTAAATGAATATGCTGAAAACAAATGCATCCCTACTAGGCGGGTGATATTCAAAGCAGATGTAGCTCCACACCAGGGCACCCAGTTTGGCCAGTCTAACTCTGGTTGTACTGCAGCCCCTATTCCCCCTCAGCCAGGGAACAATTGGAGATTTCAGATGCCTCATAGCACAACCTCACTCTTTCTGAATAGAACATCTGGTTCCAGAAATAATGTCTCCCCAGCCCCATTTTATAGCATAGTTTGAGACAGTGGACTCTGGTAATAGAAGAAAACAAACACTATAGAGGCTGGCCCTGGGTAAGATCATGAAATACATTTGCTTCCAGCACCCTCCCTTTCCTCTTCCTGGCATACCTTCAAACCAATTTGACAAATATTATTGTGTCTACCATTTGTAAATCCCTATGCCAGATGTGTGCGATATAAACAGTTTGCTTACAGTCTAGTGGGAAAGACAGACATATATACAACCAACTTGAATTGAAGCCAGACTTTGCGAAGTGCTAGTAATAATAGCTGACATTGATTCAATATTTATTATATGCCAGGCACTGTAATTTTTTATTTATTGTTTCATGTAATCTTCAGAATATACTTATGATTATAGGTTTCTGCCTGTCACAGCTATGAAGGGAAGTTATGTGACCAAGGTCACACAGCTAGTAATAGGCAGAGGGGGAATTTAGACCTATATAGTTAGGCTGCGAAGCCTCGGTTCTAAATGCATTAAGTTCTCCTACCTCCCTAAGAGCTGTAATACAAGTCTAAAGAAAATGCCATGAGAATAGGGAGTGATGATATCTGAGAAATCTCTTCAAAGGATGGGACACTGCAGCGGTCCTAGAAAGATGAATAGCGTCTGGTTCCCACAACAAGCCCCTTCCCAGTCTGAGCAATGCTTAAAGGTGTTTTCTCTCTCTTTTACTGAAACCACAGTCCAGATTTAAAAGTAAAAAGCTCTTTTACCTTTTCCAGGTTCTGAGCAAGGAACCTGTTTACATGTTCATCCTAGAGATTTGGAAGCAGAAGCCCAAAGTTTAGCCCTGACTATAAATTTGGGATTACCAGTCATGTAATTAAATAAACCTTTACAAAGCAATCAGCTACATATTAAGTGATTTCCTTAATCATGATGATCTTGCCTGGACATTAGACACATGTGGCAGATAGTTTTTACAAATGCCGGTGATTGGTCTTGCTTTTACTTGGCTAACCAGCATTTTAAGAGTATTTCTCCCTTGTGTTGTCTTTTGGGTTGCTTCTGCACTCCTTAACCAGTGATTGTGCCCACGGGCATTAGCATGTAATCCCACTTTGAGGAGGTGCTGGTCTCAGCCCCGAAGAGCGAAGAGCGGTGAGACCTGGGACAAGTCACATAAGGTCTGTTCCCTTGTGAGCTCTGTTTCCTGGAACGGTTAAGAGCAAGGCCAAAATTGAGGGCAGCCCTCGTGGCGAGGAGTTATTAAACTCTGGATGGTTTGATGGAAGTGCAGAGGAGCAGAAGCTCTAGCTTTATCTTGGTGATTGTGTGTGCATGTTCTGAAGCAGTGTTTCTCAAACTTCGACACGCATGTGTATCAGTGGGGATCTTGTCGAAATGCCGATTCTGATCCAGTAGCTTTGGGGTGGGACCTGAGATTCTGCATTTCTAACAAACTCTCAAGTGATGGTCATGCTGTCCCTCCACAGACCACACCTTGACTAGTCAGGTCTGAGATTATTTTGGTGCCAAATGACCAACCCTTCTCCCAGCCATTATTTAAAGTCACTGATCAGCTATGTCACTGCAGGATAACGGGAAGCCTAATTCATTTGTTCATTCAGTCGATATACGTCCAGAACAGGAAGCTGAGACCTCCCCATTTACCATACAGGAAACAAGTCCGAATCTTTATCACACAAAACTATTATTATGCAAAAAAAGGCTCTGTGTTGGATTTCCCAAACATCTCCCACCTTTTTTCCATGGCTCCCAGTTTCCCTAAGCCGCTTTCATTCTCTGCCTCCAACCTGAGCAGCACTGGAGCAGAACGTTTGGCTGTGTCCGGAGCCCTTTGCTGGGCGTCGGAGTGCCAGGGAACTAGGGTAGCAGGGACTCTGCTCTGAGCCCGGGAGCAACGTGCCTGGGGCATTGTCTCCACAGGGCAGAAGTGAAGTGGGAAACATCCCAGGTGTTAAGGAGGGAAGAGAGGACTGAGCGAATTTCTATCGTTTTGGAAAATTGAGAGAATTATGAGGAAAAAGGTTGTTGGAGAAAAGAAGATGGGAGAATTTGCCTAACATGCTTTCATCCTGCAGTTTTTGTGTTAGAATATCAAAATGGCTTCAGAGACAGGAACAATGGCAGTACACGCCCTGCATGAAGAGGTGTTTCCTTTTGATTCATAAGAAGAATGTAGACAAGTCCTTCATGTCTGTGAGGGTATTGTTTCTTTGTGATTTTTAGGAATAATGTAGACAATTCCTTTATGTGCGTGAGGGTGTAAGTAATGTGGCCCGTGTCCATTAAGGAAAACCTGGAAATACAGATT